TACTCCACCCATCTCTGCTGATATCTTAGCACTTTCAAGAGTGCTGCATCCCCCCTGAAAGTCAATTAGAATTTTCGTTTTTCCAGAGTGACTTAAATCTATCTGCCTGAGATAAGACGCTCCCTAATAACTGTGCACACCTTGATAAAAGGTGTTGATCTCCTTAGGCATCCATCCTTCCTCATTAAACATATAAACAGCTGATTTGCTTACATCCAGTAGGCATTCAGGTTTATACAGCTTGGGGTTGGAAAAAAATGAATATAATGATATTTTAAAAAATGGTCTATTAATCTTGCATAGCGTATTTTTAAATATTATAAACTAAGCTTTATCTTAATTACATTCTTATATTCATTCCTGTCTGCTAGATATCGACAACTTTTATTGTCATTATGTGTACACAGAGTGTATACAAAACGAAATTTTGTTTTATACAGCTATGAGAAACATTTCCATTCTATAAAGTGCTGCAGTGATCAAATGTAAACAATGTGGGAGAAAAAGCATGGTGCAAAAACGCAATGATATGGGAGTTCAGAACATTAAATATGTAGTGCAAATATGCAATATTTTTGTTTGGTGTAATCAGTGTGATGCAGAGTCTTTGACATGATTTAGAGGTAGATATGTAAGAGTTAAATATGCAGAGGCATAGCCAGAAAGTTTTTATAAGGGTGGCCAGGCAATAACCAATGAACACTGAAGGGTGGCCGAAAGCGGATAGACGCCAAAACTTCAGGGTCAAGACAAAGATAAGACAAACTATACTTTCCGACAGCCTTTGCTAACAAATAGATGGATATATTTAAAGATCTGTGCTTTCTAGATAAAAGGTATAGTGGATAAAATTCTTTCTGGTTTGAGTTCTGGGGAAAACGTCCTTTCCATTGTCATTACTTACCTACTTTTATCAATAATCATTCTGCATAAAATTTACATTTAGAAGCACTAATATCTACATTAATTGATAATTTAATACGTTTTTATTAAAGTTATTTACTAAAAAAGTTAGTTATCTCCAAAGTTATTTATCCATGATTTTACTGAAGACTAGATGATTTGCAGAGACACTTCATTTTGTCTTCACCCCATAAAACACAAAATCTAGTTCTGAAAAGAGCATTAATTCTTTACTTATCATCTTTAATGTTAGTATATTGATTTGTATATTAACCACAGTGTTTTTCTTGTCAAGTAATTATGAATATATAAAAAAATTTGTAAGTAATATATGAAAAATTTTAATGTTTTGAATATTCATCTTGAGAGTATTACTGTTGCCACCATCTGTATTAGAGGGGGAAAAAATGGTAGGGGTGGACACAGGGGTGGCCAATGATTGGCTAAAGGCTGATTTATACTTCAAAACCAGGTCCTCTGCGTAGGTGTTGCAGTGAACAATAAGCTGTCCCCGCCCCCTCTGCAGACATTCAGCTGCAACTCTCCCAAATTGTAACTGACCGCAGACAGTGCCGCAGAGAGGTGGCCGGATTGTTTTGTTTTTATGACCAAAATTGCGGAAAATAACTTGTGAAGTCGGACCAGCTAGAAGATTGAGGTGCGCGAGAACGCTGGGACCCTTTTTCCACCTGGATCCCTGCTATTTTTCACCGTCATGTCCCTTCGTTTTCGGACTAAACTCGCCCCCACTTCCTCTCTGCCTTGGCCGTATCTAGACCCACAGCGTATAGCGCAGACCACGCTTCAAAACTGAGCATAAATCAAAAATGTCTGCATCAAGCTCACTGCGACACACTGCTGCAAGAGAGTAACCAGCTCTTAAAGTAAAACGCTGTTTTTTTTTACATTTGGCCCTTGAATTTACGTTATTTAATCATGTTCTACTCACCCATATGAGTTTTTTGTCATTTGGAGCTGTTTTGAAGATATTACGTTAGGTTATATCCAGGTAACGTCTTCCTATGGGCAACGACTTCAAGGCACAAACTAAACTGTTCATAATTTATTCTTTATGGTACTCCAGCATTCATAACATGTAGGCGAATCACTGTCCCCCCGACATCCGCGGTTATATTTTCTATATTTCTATTTTTTTTTAAACAAAGCGGCGTGTGTATGACATCATCCGAGTGCGCCGGCAACCGTTCATTCTTCCTGTCCGCTGAACTGCTGCTAGTTTTACTCACATGCCTGGAAGATGTCTAGTGCTACTATCACAGATGATCTCGCTCTCGAAATGTAATTGAACGATTCAGATTAGCTCGCCAAATGAATAGAAGGGGTAGAGCGTAGCCGCCTGTGGCCCGGGCTGCCTGTCACAACTCCAGGCCGTCGCGCAGATGACATCATACACACGCCGCTTCATTTCTTAAAAATATAAATATAAAAAATATAACCGCGGCTGTCTGGGGGAAAAGTGATTCACCTACATGTTATGAACGCTGGCGTACCATCCATCCATTATCTGACAAGCTTGTCCCAAGTGGGGTCGCGAGGGGTGCTGGTGCCTATCTCCAGCAGTCAATGGCCGAGTACACCTTGGACAGGTCACCAGTCCATCGCAGGGCAACACAGAGACACACGGGACAAACAACCATTCACACACACACACTCACACCTGAGGACAATTTAGAGATGCCATTTAAACTAACATTAATGCTTTTGGACTGTAGGAGGAAGCCGGAGTACCCAGAGAGAACCCACACATGCTCAAGGAGAACATGCAAACCCCATGCAGAAAGACCCTGCGCCGGAATCAAACCCAGAACCTTCTTGCTGCAAGGCAGCAGTGCTACCCACTGCCCCACTGAGCAGCCAGCAGCCGGCCAGCAGCTGGCGTACCATAAATGATAAATTATGAATAGTTAAGTTTGTGCCTTCAAGTCGTTGCCCATAGGAAGACGTTACTTGGATATAACCAAACGGAATATCTTCAGAACCGCTCCAAATGACACAAAACTCATATGGGTGAGTAGAACATGATGTAATAACGTAAAATCAAGGGCCCAATGTAAAATAAAAAACAGCGTTTTCCTTTAAGGGTGGCCCTGGCCACCCCTGGCCCCCCATCTAGCTCTGCCCCTGTAGATATATAAGTCTTATAAGTAAAATGTTATTTTGACAAACAGAAATGTTATTGCTATGACTAACTGGACAATGAAACTTATTCTTTCACTAAAAAATGTCCTGCCATACTCCTACCATTGCTTTACATCTATGCTACTCCTACGTTTCTGGTTGCACGTATTCTCCCTGCACAGGGAGCAGCTGTAAACGCTCATAGAAAGTGTTTGACCTCCACGCAGCCCCTGCAGTGTGTGATCTCAGAGGAATAATTAGACTTTTGGTGAAATCTTGCTATATAATATTCCTGTTGCCTCTGCCTCCTCAGCTGTGCAGCGGATTAAAAGTGTGATATACAAATAAGCTGGATGCATTTTGAACACTGATGTTCCTTCACTGATAACACGAGAAACTCTTTGCTCCACATGTGCTGCGCGTTCACGGAGCTGCGCTGTGATTGGTCAAAGCGCACGCTCTGTTCGGTCCGGTGCACGCGCACAGCTCTTCTTGGTTTATAAACCCGCTTTTCCGCCGCACTGAACTCACAACGGTCCAGGAAACACAAGCAGCTGGGAAGTTAAACAGAATCTTAAAGCCTTTAGAGAAAAATAAACATAAAAAAACTCAGTAGAAGATGAAGGTAAACGTGTCCGCGGTGATGTTTTTACTGTTGGGCTTTAATCAGCTGCTGGCCATGGAGCTGCATGATCATATCCTGGAGAAACAGGGGAGCCAGGTGAAAAGGCGCCTCTCCCTGCAGAGCACAGGTGAGTTCACCGCAGAGTTACATTCAGATGGAGAGATTCACATTTGGGTCTGACATTAGGAAAGAAAAATCTCCATAAGGGCAACATTTTTGCTGCAAACTGAACTACTGATCAATTTATTGCTTGTTCATCTTTAAAATCATTTGACCTGCTATGTTTTATACAGAGAAAATCTGCAACCAATGAGCTGCTCTGCTTAGTTACCAATTATATTTTAACTATAATACTGAAAAAAAAAAAAAACTGCAACCGTTTTTGGCATTTAATTAAAGATAATATGCAATTACCTTCCACTGCACTTTAATTTAGATAGCTTCTGTCCAAACCTTATTTATTCATTTTATAGTAAAAGCCATCTGTATATTATGCTATTGTACATAACTGTAAAAACCCTTTTTATAGTAATATCCACCTGTATATCATATTCGGTACATATCCAGCTTAAATTTATACATTTAAACTGGATAAATGTATCCAGCTTAAATGTTCATAACACTAGTTATCTTTATATTATATTAATAGGACAAATCTATTAGTAAGATTCTGTTTATAATGGTATTCATCTCTTTATTTATTCAGTAGAAACCCATGTCCTGTATTTATGGAACCATTATTTATCCTGCACTTGCTGCTATTGCACTTCTGGTTAGACCTAAACTGCATTTCATTGCCTTGTACCTGTGTGTTGACAATAAAGTTGAATCCAATCTCATCTAATCATATTTTGTTATTTTAACACAATTGTTTTTTTTTTCCTGCCCTGCTAACATGAAAACATTCTCTTAAAGTAATTAATGATTAAGTAGCTGCAAAAAAAAGTTGCTTTTTTTTCTTCAGTGAACAGTTGACAACAGCCAAGTGAGAGATGATTGTTTTATTATTTTAAATTAGATCACAACTTACAAGAACCTGAAAAGCATTTACCTGTTATCTGTGGTACTGAAATTTAAATAAGTTGTTTTCTTTTCCTTTTTTTTCTTTTTGTTGTTCATCAAGTCTGTCAGAAATCTTGTCCTAGTTCTCAGGTAATTGCAAAAACAGTTTATATGAAAACATTAAGGTACCGAATACAGATATCTGAGCTTATTAGTGATAGATTTGAGTTCAAGTCCAACAAAAAAACTACCTGTTTAAAAAGGTGCAAAAAAGAAATAAATGAATATATTTTTGGCAGGATCCATAAAGAAAGTAAGAAAGGTTAAAATATTATTTTGCATTTTATGTTAAATAAACCTATAAAGCTTAGTATATGGGATTTATATTCATCCACTCTTAATAAAAAATCACAATACTTAGAAGTACTTCTAGGGTATTATTTGTTGGAGGAGCTTTTAAAGTTGTTGATTTTAACATGAATACTAAAGCAACTCATTTCTATAGACAGGTCTGAAAAAGTCCACTGATTCTGAACTAATAGCTTATAAAGTTTAAATCTCTGCATTTCTAACTTCTTGCATCAGGTTGCTGTGCTGCAAGGGTAAAACTGGCTTAAATGGAGATGGAGTTTGGGGATGTAGATGTTTTCCTTCCCTTGCCTATCCATAACTTAACAAACTTTTTTTCATACTTGACTTTAATGATGATCAAATAAACCAGCCTGTATGGGGTGATCTATTGTGATTTTGTATTCTACTTTAAGGAAAGCTGGTTTTCTAACTCCACTTAATCATACACACCAGCAGGAGGTACTTCTATTATTTTTAGTTCTGTCATTCTTTATAAGACAGCTGGGGAAAAAAATCTGAATCAAGGCCACAGTCATAGAATGAAGGATCCAACGTACATATTTTGAAAACATTATAGAGTTGAATTAGTTCTAAATGAGATGTGACAATTTTTATATATTTATTTCTACCAATATTTATCTTAATAGGAAAAATTTTATATATTAGCAGTAGGTAAAATATATAAATTATTTTTTATTTATTTTTTTTGCAGGTCAAAAGAAAATGACATAATATGGGATGGATTGGCTCAGAGGCTGAAGTTAAACCTCTAGCAGTTCTGCTTGCTATTACCGCTTNTAGGTGTTGCAGTGAACAATAAGCTGTCCCCGCCCCCTCTGCAGACATTCAGCTGCAACTCTCCCAAATTGTAACTGACCGCAGACAGTGCCGCAGAGAGGTGGCCGGATTGTTTTGTTTTTATGACCAAAATTGCGGAAAATAACTTGTGAAGTCGGACCAGCTAGAAGATTGAGGTGCGCGAGAACGCTGGGACCCTTTTTCCACCTGGATCCCTGCTATTTTTCACCGTCATGTCCCTTCGTTTTCGGACTAAACTCGCCCCCACTTCCTCTCTGCCTTGGCCGTATCTAGACCCACAGCGTATAGCGCAGACCACGCTTCAAAACTGAGCATAAATCAAAAATGTCTGCATCAAGCTCACTGCGACACACTGCTGCAAGAGAGTAACCAGCTCTTAAAGTAAAACGCTGTTTTTTTTTACATTTGGCCCTTGAATTTACGTTATTTAATCATGTTCTACTCACCCATATGAGTTTTTTGTCATTTGGAGCTGTTTTGAAGATATTACGTTAGGTTATATCCAGGTAACGTCTTCCTATGGGCAACGACTTCAAGGCACAAACTAAACTGTTCATAATTTATTCTTTATGGTACTCCAGCATTCATAACATGTAGGCGAATCACTGTCCCCCCGACATCCGCGGTTATATTTTCTATATTTCTATTTTTTTTTAAACAAAGCGGCGTGTGTATGACATCATCCGAGTGCGCCGGCAACCGTTCATTCTTCCTGTCCGCTGAACTGCTGCTAGTTTTACTCACATGCCTGGAAGATGTCTAGTGCTACTATCACAGATGATCTCGCTCTCGAAATGTAATTGAACGATTCAGATTAGCTCGCCAAATGAATAGAAGGGGTAGAGCGTAGCCGCCTGTGGCCCGGGCTGCCTGTCACAACTCCAGGCTGGCGCGCAGATGACATCATACACACGCCGCTTCATTTCTTAAAAATATAAATATAAAAAATATAACCGCGGCTGTCTGGGGGAAAAGTGATTCACCTACATGTTATGAACGCTGGCGTACCATCCATCCATTATCTGACAAGCTTGTCCCAAGTGGGGTCGCGAGGGGTGCTGGTGCCTATCTCCAGCAGTCAATGGCCGAGTACACCTTGGACAGGTCACCAGTCCATCGCAGGGCAACACAGAGACACACGGGACAAACAACCATTCACACACACACACTCACACCTGAGGACAATTTAGAGATGCCATTTAAACTAACATTAATGCTTTTGGACTGTAGGAGGAAGCCGGAGTACCCAGAGAGAACCCACACATGCTCAAGGAGAACATGCAAACCCCATGCAGAAAGACCCTGCGCCGGAATCAAACCCAGAACCTTCTTGCTGCAAGGCAGCAGTGCTACCCACTGCCCCACTGAGCAGCCAGCAGCCGGCCAGCAGCTGGCGTACCATAAATGATAAATTATGAATAGTTAAGTTTGTGCCTTCAAGTCGTTGCCCATAGGAAGACGTTACTTGGATATAACCAAACGGAATATCTTCAGAACCGCTCCAAATGACACAAAACTCATATGGGTGAGTAGAACATGATGTAATAACGTAAAATCAAGGGCCCAATGTAAAATAAAAAACAGCGTTTTCCTTTAAGGGTGGCCCTGGCCACCCCTGGCCCCCCATCTAGCTCTGCCCCTGTAGATATATAAGTCTTATAAGTAAAATGTTATTTTGACAAACAGAAATGTTATTGCTATGACTAACTGGACAATGAAACTTATTCTTTCACTAAAAAATGTCCTGCCATACTCCTACCATTGCTTTACATCTATGCTACTCCTACGTTTCTGGTTGCACGTATTCTCCCTGCACAGGGAGCAGCTGTAAACGCTCATAGAAAGTGTTTGACCTCCACGCAGCCCCTGCAGTGTGTGATCTCAGAGGAATAATTAGACTTTTGGTGAAATCTTGCTATATAATATTCCTGTTGCCTCTGCCTCCTCAGCTGTGCAGCGGATTAAAAGTGTGATATACAAATAAGCTGGATGCATTTTGAACACTGATGTTCCTTCACTGATAACACGAGAAACTCTTTGCTCCACATGTGCTGCGCGTTCACGGAGCTGCGCTGTGATTGGTCGAGGCGCACGCTCCGTTCAGTCCGGTGCACGCGCACAGCTCTTCTTGGTTTATAAACCCGCTTTTCCGCCGCACTGAACTCACAACGGTCCAGGAAACACAAGCAGCTGGGAAGTTAAACAGAATCTTAAAGCCTTTAGAGAAAAATAAACATAAAAAAACTCAGTAGAAGATGAAGGTAAACGTGTCCGCGGTGATGTTTTTACTGTTGGGCTTTAATCAGCTGCTGGCCATGGAGCTGCATGATCATATCCTGGAGAAACAGGGGAGCCAGGTGAAAAGGCGCCTCTCCCTGCAGAGCACAGGTGAGTTCACCGCAGAGTTACATTCAAATGAAGAGCTTCACATTTGGGTCTGACATTAGGAAAGAAAAATCTCCATAAGGGCAACATTTTTGCTGCAAACTGAACTACTGATCAATTTATTGCTTGTTCATCTTTAAAATCATTTGACCTGCTATGTTTTATACAGAGAAAATCTGCAACCAATGAGCTGCTCTGCTTAGTTACCAATTATATTTTAACTATAATACTGAAAAAAAAAAAAAACTGCAACCGTTTTTGGCATTTAATTAAAGATAATATGCAATTACCTTCCACTGCACTTTAATTTAGATAGCTTCTGTCCAAACCTTATTTATTCATTTTATAGTAAAAGCCATCTGTATATTATGCTATTGTACATAACTGTAAAAACCCTTTTTATAGTAATATCCACCTGTATATCATATTCGGTACATATCCAGCTTAAATTTATACATTTAAACTGGATAAATGTATCCAGCTTAAATGTTCATAACACTAGTTATCTTTATATTATATTAATAGGACAAATCTATTAGTAAGATTCTGTTTATAATGGTATTCATCTCTTTATTTATTCAGTAGAAACCCATGTCCTGTATTTATGGAACCATTATTTATCCTGCACTTGCTGCTATTGCACTTCTGGTTAGACCTAAACTGCATTTCATTGCCTTGTACCTGTGTGTTGACAATAAAGTTGAATCCAATCTCATCTAATCATATTTTGTTATTTTAACACAATTGTTTTTTTTTTCCTGCCCTGCTAACATGAAAACATTCTCTTAAAGTAATTAATGATTAAGTAGCTGCAAAAAAAAGTTGCTTTTTTTTCTTCAGTGAACAGTTGACAACAGCCAAGTGAGAGATGATTGTTTTATTATTTTAAATTAGATCACAACTTACAAGAACCTGAAAAGCATCTACCTGTTATCTGTGGTACTGAAATTTAAATAAGTTGTTTTCTTTTCCTTTTTTTTCTTTTTGTTGTTCATCAAGTCTGTCAGAAATCTTGTCCTAGTTCTCAGGTAATTGCAAAAACAGTTTATATGAAAACATTAAGGTACCGAATACAGATATCTGAGCTTATTAGTGTTAGATTTGAGTTCAAGTCCAACAAAAAAACTACCTGTTTAAAAAGGTGCAAAAAAGAAATAAATGAATATATTTTTGGCAGGATCCATAAAGAAAGTAAGAAAGGTTAAAATATTATTTTGCATTTTATGTTAAATAAACCTATAAAGCTTAGTATATGGGATTTATATTCATCCACTCTTAATAAAAAATCACAATACTTAGAAGTACTTCTAGGGTATTATTTGTTGGAGGAGCTTTTAAAGTTGTTGATTTTAACATGAATACTAAAGCAACTCATTTCTATAGACAGGTCTGAAAAAGTCCACTGATTCTGAACTAATAGCTTATAAAGTTTAAATCTCTGCATTTCTAACTTCTTGCATCAGGTTGCTGTGCTGCAAGGGTAAAACTGGCTTAAATGGAGATGGAGTTTGGGGATGTAGATGTTTTCCTTCCCTTGCCTATCCATAACTTAACAAACTTTTTTTCATACTTGACTTTAATGATGATCAAATAAACCAGCCTGTATGGGGTGATCTATTGTGATTTTGTATTCTACTTTAAGGAAAGCTGGTTTTCTAACTCCACTTAATCATACACACCAGCAGGAGGTACTTCTATTATTTTTAGTTCTGTCATTCTTTATAAGACAGCTGGGGAAAAAAATCTGAATCAAGGCCACAGTCATAGAATGAAGGATCCAACGTACATATTTTGAAAACATTATAGAGTTGAATTAGTTCTAAATGAGATGTGACAATTTTTATATATTTATTTCTACCAATATTTATCTTAATAGGAAAAATTTTATATATTAGCAGTAGGTAAAATATATAAATTATTTTTTATTTATTTTTTTTGCAGGTCAAAAGAAAATGATATAATATGGGATGGATTGGCTCAGAGGCTGAAGTTAAACCTCTAGCAGTTCTGCTTGCTATTACCGCTTATACAATTATATTACCAGTGAATTATATTCGCACCGTTCTTCAGTGCTTCCTATCTTGCAAATGAACACTGTTCGGTTGGTATCGGAAATTTAGAAGGATTCTATTTTGTTTTATTTCAGTTAAATCCACAAAGAAGAACTGGAGCTGAACAGCTGCTTGTATCACATGTGGTTTTAACACATAAGATCAGGAACAGGGAAGCACAGTTGGAGGGAAATTTGTGGCTACAATACAGTTTGATGTTGTGGTGGCAAAACCACTTTTGATTAATCCATAATTTACTCCCCATCTTTGTTTTTTGTTTTGTTATGTTTGTTTTTCATGATCAAAATGTCCCAACCTATCCCTGAGAACCTTAACATTAAATTTTAGAAGGTATTTTGGGTCTGTGTATCAAAGGCATACAGAGTCTAACCCAGTTGCCCAATATATTATTCTAGCAATAAAACTGTGAATGCACAGCCACTACACTATATAAACCCAGTGCTTCAAAGCAGTGATTTGTAATTACCATGTTGTAAACAGTGAGATTTTCCTGTGCAACTCTAGTTGGGAGGTTTTAATTTTCTTCTTCTCATCCGAGGAGTCTGTTGTTTTATTCAAGCATGTTGAAAGCAAGAAAACCTACGGGACAATTTGTGCCTGTTGTGGTATTGAAAGGCTAGTGGTGACCTCACTGCATCTTTTCTGTGTGCCTAAGCTGAAATCCAGAGCTGCCTGGTGAGTTCAGGGGATGTCGGCTGTGGGATGTTTCAGTGTTTCAGCAACAACTCCTGTGAGATCCACGGCCTTCACCACATATGCCTCACTCTGCTGCACAACGCAGGACGCTATGACTCCCAGGTGGGAATGACTGGGCTCATATCACTCTCTCAGACATATGGCAGTAATACCGAAATTAAGTTCATTAAGATCTTAAAGCGGGGGCTTAGAGAAAGCAGCTCTGGATACGAGTTTTTATTTCATTTAATCCCGTCAGTCATTAAGATCGTTTGCGAGGAATGCATGTAGTATGAGGAGTAAGGAATGGTTATGGGTGGTAGCATTGGTTACAGAACAATCTGAGAGGGCATCTGAAATGGGAGAAGGAACAGCATGTCCACTTTACTAGAATAGAAATATACAACAAAGTGAAGCAAGTTCATGGGTTCCACAGAGCGATGTGGAGCGGTAGATGATGTGCTGCATGTGTTCTGCAGATGCTGCATGCAAATAATCACTGGAAAAAGTTTTGTAAATAGCATTTCTGGGTTAATCGCCTGTGTGTTGTTTATACATGTTATCCAAGTCCACAATCTGATTACATTAACCACACACAGCTGGGGGGTTTTATCTCCCTCGTAAACACACTGGGTCATCTTACATGATCTAAGGTGGGTTCTACTTTTTTTTTTTTAATAGACTTCTCCTACAATTACCTTCAATTAGGTGTTTTTTCTAAGATAATAGGAATGAATGTATTTGCTACAAAGATTTTATAAACAGATTTCTGGAGAGGATTAAATCCTAACTTTAGGACACCAACTTGATATTTCTCTCTATTGAATTTGCCTTTTAGTGATGTTTATTCCCACACAATCATACTTCCTCCACTAAGAGCTGTTTGGCATCTATAGAAATGATTGAATAATGTTTTCATAAGTAGAACCCATACATGCCATTCCCACAGGAAAATGTCAATTAAAGAATTTAAGGAGAAATTAACAGGCCTTGAAACTGTGGAAGAATTAATACCATGAAGAATTGTTACTACAAGAATATGTTACCACCTCTGTCTCTCTTTATCCCAGGGTAAATCATATGTAAAGGACGCACTTCGATGCATGGCGCTTGGACTGCGTCAGCGTTTCAGCTGCGTGAGCCGCCGCTGCTCTGCAGTGAAGGAGATGGTGTTCTCGCTCCAGAGAGAGTGCTACTCCAAACACCACCTCTGCCTCGCTGTGCGCGATCACCTGGACACCATGGGGAACCTGGTCCAGTTCCAACTTATGTTTCCTGCAGGGTGAGAAAAGCAGGCACATGCAAAGTTGTTTTTTTTTTTTTAATGTGGAGCAGTGAATCCTTGCCCTTTTACAAGCTTTTTAAAGCTTTAATATGATCAGAAATTGCTTAGTATCATCCCATAAATTCAATGGATTCTGAAGATTTGTTTCAAAGTTTTTAAATTGTAACACAGGGGAATTACCCGGATTGTGACCGAGGACGTGGCCCTAAACCAACTAGTAGACCACTGAAAGTATTATCAAGTAGCCTAGGGTCTCCCAATTAAATGTACCTAGGTAGGTCTGGCTTGAAATGAGGAAACAGATTTAGTATACAAATTATATATTTTATTTATGGATTATTTTACAATTGGAAGACAACTTTATTATTCTATTTTAAAATCCAATAAGGCACAAGAACCCGTGACAGAAGAAGCAATCTGAGACTCTAGAAAAACACTGCAAACCACGTTAGTAGCACACAAGATCAAACAAGGTTATATTAATTTAGAAGAACACGAATCTCACGTTGCGTCCTATAGAGCTGCGCCCAATCAGCCTATTTATAAAAGATATAAATGGTCGTTCTGGTTCTGTAGTGCCCGTGCTGCAACTCTAGCTCCAGAGAAAACCTTTTACCAAGAGCATAACAAAAAAAGGGGTCTCAATGGTGAGAGCATAATAAGCAACAGCAGCAATCTTCATCAGCCTCAGACAGGGATATATGCAGACGCTTCCATGAAAACTTTTCCAGCAGCGCAGTACCAAGATCCAAATTCTGTGTAGCAGCACGGCTCCCAACGCTCAAAAGAATCTACTGCACACCAAACTAAGCCGACTCTCATAGCTTGCTTGCACACCTGGTGCCTATATACGCTAATGAGCCTGTCAATTCTGTAAAGCAGACGTGAAGGTAAAGAAACGGAGCTGTGATGTGTTCAAGGACCCAAAACAGGTGGGAATTTACACCCACTAGACCACCCGGTTACAAAATACAAAACTTTTAGGTTCAATTCTCTTTATTTTAAAAGGGCCAATTCACTGCATATCATTCACTGCATATCTCAAGGCTCTTTACAGAGACAATTCAACCAGATCATACGTTCAGATTCGACCTAAGGAAAACCAGTCAATTGCATCAACTTATTGACTCGACAGCAATCTTTCACACCAAGCATGCAAGTAGTGACGGGGAGACAAAAACTCCCATTTAAAAGGAAGAAACCTCCAGCAGAACCAGGCTTAGTGTGAGCGGCCGTCTGCGGTGCAAGGAGACAGAAGCAGACATACAGAAAGAAGCAGAGATACTAAAGGTTACTGTCAACCAGCTCCACAGGCGGCGCCGTCCAGGAAAACACTCAGCGAGGCAGACGAGCTCCGAGCCAGCTCCCATGTCAGAGAACACATACAGTTAGTCACAGTAAGACATAGACAATAGAACTTCGTTGATCTTGAAATGGAGAAATAAACTCTCTGCATTTGTCCCATCTCCTTGGGGAGCAGTGGGCTGCCACTGTGCGGCGCCCGGGGAGCAGTGTGGGGTTAAGGTTCTTGCTCAGAGACCCAGAGTGGAGGCTGTGGGGATCCAATCAGGGAACTTCTAGCCCTCTCAGTGCACAAGCGCACTGCTCTAACCACTAGGCAAACACTCCTAGAGTGTCAGAGAAACAGGGCTACACTGAAAAACAGGCCAAGCTCCAACCATCCAGAGCATATCTTAAAGCTACAGTGTGTAACTTTTAGTGACATCTAGCGCTCAGACTGCAGACTGCAGCAACATGATCATCTCCCCCCCACCGCTTCTCCCCCCCAACAGTACGGCGAGCGTTACGGGACAAAATGTCTTCCACGACGTCCGCATCACCTACCTTCTCAAGTGATGAGGTTTGTTTACAT